GTGAGGAAATTATCTATATTTATTTTGATTAAGCTAAGATTCGTGCATTTTATTTTATTTTGCTTGGTGACTTACTTTGTTCTGTCTGTTACTACTTTGAACCACTTAAATCCTACTGTCTGTATTTAATAAAATCACTTTCTATTTAGTAATTCACTCAGAGTATGTATTAATACCTGGGGGAGCAAACAGCGGTGCATATCTCTCTATCAGTGTTATAGAGGGCGAACAATTTATGAGTTTGCCCTGCATAAGCTTTATACAGGGTAAAACGGATTTAACTGGGTTTAGACCCCACTGGGAGTTGGGCATCTGAGTGCTAAAGACAAGCACACTACTGTGAGCTGTTTTCAGGTAAACTTGCAGCTTTGGGACAAGTGATTCAGACCCTGGATCTGTGTCTGGCGCCAGACGGGAGTGTCTGGCTCAGCAAGACAGGGTGCTGGAGTCCTGAGCTGGCAGGGAAAGCAGAAGCAGGGGTAGTCTTTGCACATCGGGTGGCAGCTCCCAAGGAGGTTTCTGTGATCCAACCCATCACACCCACCAAATATTCAAAAGTAAGAAAAGGGCCTCAGAACAGAAGGTGATTTCCAGGCCCCCATCCTGCAACTGAATGCACATGGGTGAATCTGTGTGCATTAAATGGGCGCTCTATGTAGGCAACAATATAGTTGTAAGAAACTCCAATCGTGTTTGTGACTATGTAGCAATATGATCCTTCATGCCATTATAAGGGGCAATATAAGATCAATAGTTTAATTCTCCAAATATTTTCCCATATCATAAAATTAATTCTCAAAAAAGCAAACAACCCAGAATCATATTTGTCACATGATAAAAGAATGATTTATTAAAGAAATTTTATGATAAAATTATATAAAACAACAATTTATTTTTAAAGACAGCCACAATATCACCTTGGAACAAAATGTACAGATACTGTCTATCATCAAAACAAAATAAATTACCATTCAAAAAACAAGAGAAATAAACAGGGTGTGAGAAATAGGAATCAAAATTATACACAACATTTCGAGAAGAGAGTGTGGAAAAAAAGAGAGAGACAGTCATTGATCAATTCAAGTTATACAAACGTGTTTCAGCTTTACTCTCAGACAGCTTGCATTTGTGTTGCATGCAAATGGAATGATCCAGTGAAGAGTTTAGAACAGCAGAATCGGCAGCATAACAACAGCAGATAGTCAGATAGGCACAATTCAGCACAGGGCACATCCAAAGTAAACAGGTAGTTAACTTTTCTTTTCTTTTTTTTTTTTTTGCAAAATCATTACACGTATTTGCTGAATTTTAAAAATATCTAATGTGATCTGCAAAAATGAAGAAAAAACTAGTAGAATCTTGCACTTATATATTTTAAACACTTTTTTCAGTAGGCTGTATGTAAACATTCTGTAAGGTTTTTCTTTATTAAAATATTCAAGGATGACTTAGGCTTTATTCACACTCTTAGCATGACCACAACATGACGGTACTGTAGACACACTTAGGCTCTTGCTCGCAAAGCACTGATGCATTCTCCCAAGAATTTACATTCATTCCATCATCATGAAGTCTCAAGAGTTTAACATTCGAAAACAATCTAAATGAGAGCACAGTTTTCAAGTATAGTAAAAGAACAAAGGCTGGGATTTTCAAAGGCGCCTAAGTGTGTTAGCATCCACGTCCTGGAAACGTTTAATCAGAGCTGGGTGCTTAACTTCCTTAGACTTGTTTGAAAATGCCAGACTAATTTTTTTAAATGTAAATACAACAAATATGAAAACAATTTACTGTATGAATGACGATTGGGTCAGTAGAGCACACATCAAGCTCACTGAAAGATAACCAACAAAAGGTTGACCCAATGCCCATTAAAGTCAATAGGAATCTTTCCACTGTCTCTAATAGCCATTGGATCAGACCCTAAATGCTTGTGATACTCACATCAGAACTGTACAGACTTTTTATTGTTGTTGTCACAGAATACTGCTTATAAGACCAAACCTTGGCAAATGGTTTATAATTATGTGGCTTGCTCTTTGGCTTAATTCTAACAGACAAATGAAGAATGAGGTATACTTCAGATTAATTAAGTACCTCAAATATATTTGTTACATTTCAGCACCAAAATGATTACGTACCAGGACTGCAATTAAAATAGTCTTGAAAAATTCTCAGTAAGAACTTTATGCCAGGAAACAGTGTTTTTTTTATATCACACTGAACAAATTATTCAAAATGAAACAAAATCAAGTTGTGCTTTTCCCTGCCCCCAGACTAAAACTTTTAGAGATTCATGACTCCAGCTTTAGTTCCAATTGTTTCTTAAAGGTACCATATTTCTGGGTTTACACAACCGGCAATGAAGATATTTGGGTACCAAGAACAGAGGAACAGCAAAGGGAGAAAATTCATCTCTGATGGGTCACTTCATGAAAGTAGAAACTAGTAAGTTTCCAAGTGAAAGTAAATGGAAGTCACATCAAGGATACGTTGTCAAGAAACAAAACCACTAGAGCATAGCCACGAGGATGGGACAATGTAGTAAAAAGTAGAAACAAATAATAAAATCTGATATTGATGAGTAACTCAAACACACACCTGTCTACTGCAGTGGACTATGTTGCTGAAGCCCTTCAACTCCCAATGAGTCGGAGTCAGCACATTGCTGGATCAGACCCTCACCGAGGAGACTTTTGAAAACAAATTACCATGTGTCAAGAGCCATACCACTATTTATGATATTAACTAAGGACACAGGCAAGTATTTCAAAAGGATACATTGGAACAATGAGACAGCATTAACATAACAGGCAGCCAGAGAAACTTAAAGGCCAAGTTCCTAGTTATTTTGCAAAGTAAATTTTACTTCCATCATCATAGTGTTCATATGAAGTCCAGTATATTCCTCCAAATCTCCACAGGAGCGGACGAGCCATGTTCTCTGTTGGATACATTGGTAGCAAAACTGCACTATTTCCCGCCCAGGCAAAACCTTGAAGGCTCGCAAGACACACTAGCATGGCAAACCAGCACTCACTTCCTTTGGGACTGCTTTTGTTTAAATCAATGGAAAACTCCCTCTGGTGGCACTTGAAGCAGAATCCTGCCATTTGCTAGTACACTAAACACGATGTGAGCAGCCCAGTTATTTAATTATACTTATTTAATTGACACTTTAGCAAAATCCTAGGAGAAAAGGTCAATTAACTGACCCAATTATGAAACCAACCCGACCCCTCCTCCCCCGCACCCCCAATGTGAAACCAGCACATAAAGAGCAATCGAGCTTGGGAAGCTATTTTCATTAGCAAAATTATACACTGTATGAGTGAGTAGCAGAATTTAGTTTGCTTACCTCACCTCCATCAGTAAGTGTATTTCCCACAACTCTGCAGATACACTTTCTTTTCCTGATCACTGTTTTTCAGTCAAGAGGAATTAATGCAACAGAGACAGATTCCAGTTTGCACACTGCATGCATCAAACAGACTCTCCAAAAAGCCACTCAAATACTTTGTTTAGAATTTGGCAGCTCACTTGACAGATGGGATTTAAAAAGC